GCTCCAGGCGCATCAGCTCCTCATTGCAGCCGCCGTAGTAGCCGCCCACGTAGTTGTACTTGGCTGCGTAGGTTCGCTTTCGGCACTGGGTCGAGGCGTGCGAGGACGGGCTCTTGCACTGTTGCGCCNAGCCGCCGTAGTAGCCGCCCACGTAGTTGTACTTGGCTGCGTAGGTTCGCTTTCGGCACTGGGTCGAGGCGTGCGAGGACGGGCTCTTGCACTGTTGCGCCGTAGCCGTGTAGGGGTAGCAGGCGTCGTCGATGACGCCGTAGTCCTGGGCGTACTTGCCGCCAATCAGGTAGGGAAAGCCTCCGTCGCAGCCCTGCGAGTACCGACTGCAATCGACCACCTCCTGCGTGCTGAAAACGGTGCGCTCGCTGTTGTTGGTGGCAATTCGAAGGCGGGCCTCCAGAAGGGCCATCGACGAGAAGATGTAACAGCTGCCGCAGGAGCCTAGAAAAGAAAAGGAAGTTCAATTTCATTAAATTCCTAGGGTTTTTAGTTTTCGAACACCTACCTTGGTCCCTCACCGGACTGACGTAGTTCACACCGTCGACATTGCGCCAGTCAAACTCCTCGGGCAGGGTGGCGGCTCGTCGCTTCGTCTCCTCGTCCACTTCCTTTGGTTTTGGGCGGCTGAGTGGGTGGAAATAGAGTGTTTAGAGATCTCAAATCAGCCATTGTTGGTACTTACCTAGCCAGACGAGACTTCTTTCCGCCGGCCATCCTCAGCAGCTCCTCAGTGCTCTTCTCCTTCAGGTCCTCGTACACCTTTGCCGTCCACCCACTCTGCTGGGAGTTAATTCGCCGAACGGCGTGCTCGCTCAGGTGGTTTCGGTGCAGGTCGACCTTCTCGAGGAGAAAAGGTCGAACTCGGTGCTCCTTGCCGACGCCCACCAGTCGTCCTGCTGAGGAGTGAGCATTGGAGCTAAACAGCTCATTCGACTTGACCGGTTGCTCCTCCTGCTCTTCCTGGTCCCAGCTGACCACCTTCCGGCCGCGGAAGCAGGCCCAGTTGTTGCCGAGGACGTCGTGCGACCAGCCGGGCTGCGTGGCATTGCAGTAGCTAGTGACCGTGCTGCCCTTCTGCTTGTAGAGGGAGAAGGCAAAGTACTTGCGGTAGTTGATGATCACCTCGAAGCCCTGGTTGTAGATCAGCGTCCAGGTGCCGAGGTTGCCCTCGCGGTCGGTGGCCAGGTTGGGAAAGTCCAACTTCAGGTAAACCTTGTTGGCGCCTCCATTCAGTGGGATGTGCTGCTCGTCGCAGTTTTCAGTGCGCGTCTCCAGGCGCTCCGACT